TGGCGGTCCGTTCAGAGTACTTCCGGCCTTCCGTGCACGGTCCGGCTATCCAAGTGGATTTTTTAAGATAAGCCGGCGCGGCGGCGGCCGCGCCGGCTTAGTGCGGCGGTGTCAGTCTAGAAAGTATTTGTTGTACGAATTTTTGATGACGACAGGTAGACTAGATGAGACTTTTACGTATTGGCAAATTTTCAGACTTGAAATCCTTTTCCACTGCTCGTTTTGAAAAACAGAATTTGCATACCACAGTACTCGCATTTCTACCCATTTCAATTAGTGGTTGTCAAGGTACCAGTGTCTTGTTGTGGTTGAGTTTTTTAACAGTACTTGGTGTTGTCATGCACTTAACAAATCAAATGCTGTACAAAATGTCAGTTTCTTTTGGAGGTTGCTGAACTGAGACGAGTGTCTTTGTTGGCTGCTCATTAAGTGTTGGTTGTTTGATCTATTTGCCGATGAATGAGTGGTAGCCACAGTTTCTACTGATCACTTTTTGCATCTATGTGATTTTTCAAGTAGCGAATATATGATTGTTCAACAACTCCAATAGAAACAGAAATAGATGATGTTTTTTGCCTTTTGTTGATACATGAAGTTTAGTCTAGTGTTGGTGAGAAAAGCACTCTTTTGGAATCGTTAACAACTTTGACTTGCTTTCGGCAGTGGAAGAGTTGAGAAGGTGATTTCTCAGAGCCATTGTGCTTGCTTCAAAGGGAAGTGTTGATAGTTTTTTTCATTTATTGTACAGAGTACAAGCAAAGACAGTAGACATTAAGATTGATCAGTGTGCTGAAGCTTTTAACATAACGCTGATGATATTAAAAACAATTAATTCGACATGCAAAAACCTTCAAAGTGAAATGTTTAAAATCTTTCAATTAAAAATTATAAGCGAGTATTTGATAATGACAAGTACATAAATCCTCCTATTCGTCTTCGTCTTCATCTTCATCTTCGCTAATCTCACGCATGTCGACATCAGAGTCAGCAGAACTTGATGAGCCATCACTTATCAGGTTTTCGTCTGCACCATTTCGCATGTTGTTAAGTTGTTGCAGCGAAATTTGGTGATATTCAGTAAATAGACTGGAATTCTTAATAAAATTAAAAACATCAATTGTTAAAACGTCTTCATTTGCATGGAACATTTTCCAGCGTGGAGTTTTCATGACTTCACTCAGATTATCAAGCAGAAAGAACTTGCAGTTTAACGTCAGAAATTCTGCACAGTGCTTGATTGCTTCGAGTAGGCGGTCGAGGACATTGTTGTTGTCGAGTGAGATTGATAGTTGTTCTTGGCAGGCCATTTTCAGCTCAAAAACGTCATACTTGTCGGCAATGGAAAGGAGGTCGAGTGAAAGTTTATCCGCGTCAGGTTTTTTTCCAGTGTACAGAGTGGTCAAAAACACTTGCATTGTTTCAAATGACGTGTCGTTGATCTCAATTTCATTTTTCGCATTTTCAACAAAATTAGCATTGCTGAGCAAAGCTCGAAAAACTGATGATCTTTGAGATAAAAAGACCTTGTGAACCGGAATTCGCCTATTCTCGACAATCACAGTAAAGTCGCTGTTGTCGCCGCTTTCGAAAAGCTTCAACCTGTTTGTGGCGTGCTTTGCTTCCATTTTTTCTTTCAATGCCTTGATAGTTGGATCGACTGACACAATGCTGTACAGTACTTTGGCCTAGCAGAAAGAATGTTATTAGATATTATTAAGACCATATTATTAGATTACTGTATTTACTTTAAAGCGAATGATGAGTTGTCCGTTCTGTGTAGATTTGCCTTTAGCAACTGAGGCAGAACTGAAAAGAGCATCATTTCCTTCGAGTATATGCGAATAACGTTTAAACGCTGAATGTCCCTCTATTAGAAGGTACAAGAGTGTACGGGTAGCATTAGCTTTTTATTGTACGGTAAAGATGTTCTTACCGTGTTTGGCAATCAAACTGGGCGATGATGAAGACGTGTCTGGGATTTCGAGTGAAAATGATACCACTGCTTCTTCATTTTTAATGGTGCTTCCTGGGAGGCAAAACATGTAAACGCCTACCATCATCGGATCAGCAGAGCGTGGGCGAACCAACAAACGAAATTCAACGTCATGCTGCGAATGTTTGATCCGCCGTGACAAGAGACACTTGTTTCTAGGCATAATCTTGGCAGAAAACTCTTCGATGCTCCACGAGTGCTCGATTTCAAAACAAGTTCCAATTGATTCCGTTATCAGCATATCCGTACTATCAGACATCTTGAATTGGCGAGTGTACTGATCAGAGAAGGTGACTCGAAAGTTTGACACGATATCTTCAAAGAAGCTGCAGATCGGCTTTGCTCGCCTACAAAACAAAGTTGCTCAAAAGACGAGTCCCAAACACCTTTCAGACTATTTCGACACTGTACTGACCCGTTCTTGTTTTTATAGCTGCAGTCTGCAGGTGAGCTTTTTGTTTATTTTGCGCTTCTCTTGCCGTGCACAGTAAGCTGATGCTAAAAGTCTTTTAGGTTGTCCACCTGAACACACCCGATCACCCACTTTTGCTCCTTCTTTAAAATTACATCAACACAATGACTGACCACTGTCATCAGTCACCTTTCTATTGTCCTCCCATGTCCGACTTGTGCCTTATTGCAGTTATTAGACAAATGTCTGCAATGGATCGCACCAATGCCTTGAATGTCAGTCTGCGATGGTTCCACCTGGTTCGCGAGGTAAATCAATCGACTCGTTCTCTCACTATTGCTATTGATTGGAATTCGCTGGATCGAGTAGAAGATGTGATTATCAGATTCTGTGCGGGATCTTCTCGTAGTTTGAGTTTGCTGAAAAACAATGACGGCTCCAAGTTGTACACGCTACACCGGTCCACTAAATGGAACACTCTACTGTACAGAAAACACCAATTGAACCGGTTGCTTGTAGAAAACGTAATTGCCGCCTACTCAACTATCACTGAGCTCATTTTTGTCTGTGATTCTTGTGACATCAACAATTCGCACTTGATACTGCTTCTCAGGAATGATCTCTGGCGTCACCAACTGGTCACTTTTAAACTGTTCAACTTTCAGGAACAGAGTACTCGCACAAAAGAGCTATTTGACGCCATTAATGACCTGCCTTTACTTCGGAAGCTGCACCTGCAAGTTAGCACTTTCATGTACGATTTGCAAATACTTCCACAGCTAGAGGAGCTACAACTTGACTGTCGGTCTCAAGCATATTCTGCCTTCATAAAGTCTCTGTCGCGTTGTGTAAACAGAGACGTCCATTTCATGCCTAGTCCACACACTGCTGCCAACAACCTTCAAATCGAACTTATCCAGTGTACCGATTATAACATCGCAGAGCTAAAAAATCTTCCGCTGCAGTATCGTAATCTTTTCACTCGTCTACGCTACCTTTCATTTGGGAACTGCTTTACCGATGTGCTGTCAATAATTGCGAATTTTAGTTCATTAACATCACTTTCGCTGCAACTCAAAACGTATGCTGATCTCCACCAAGTGTTTAATTCTTTGGCAACTCTTACTCGTCTTGTACACCTAAAACTGAACGTCAGCTACTTGCCCGGTTACGACTACAGAGAGAATGTCCACCCTGAACCAACCATGCTTCAAGCAAAAGTAAAATCTGTTAAAGCACTTGATTTGTCGTTGTCTGGAAAATCACACACTGATCTGCAATGGCTCAATTTACCATGCACATTGCCCAATTTAGAAGCCATACACTTTCTAAATTTATATTGTCACTTGTGCAATGTTAGGATTCTGGATTTTAATCTCAATTATCCAGCACATTGCAATAGAGTTCGAAAGTGCTTTTATGTTGTTTTTCAAACCCTTCATCCTCGAGTACCACTTTCTCAAATGTCGTGTTTTATTGGCAGTGAATTTTGTACAATGGACCGCTTGTTTCCATTTTAACTTACTTGACCACAATTTTCTTTTACACAAATCTGCTATATTCGTCTGCTTTTAATTTATTAAAACTGAAACTCGAATATTGGTGGTCAAATGACCTCTCTCACTGAACTTTGGTACTTGAGTTTGAGCTTAAGCCTACAACAACGTTGCTATAGTCATAAAAAAGTTATAAAAATGATTTTTTTGTGGATAAAAATAATTCGATAATTTAATGCTGAATTGCAATTTTACCATTTTTTATTGTTGTGTCATTGTTGAAATTAAAACATTGTTTGATTTTCATTGTTATCTAATGAAAATCTAATGCACTAGTCATTTTTTTACAGTTCGATTTTTCTCATCGAGAGAATAAAAAGAGCAGTTCATCATGTGAAAAGGTTTCATCTGATGTGAAGGTTTGCCAAGCTGAAATATTTGCTCTGAAATTGTCTGTGAATCAACCAACTCGAATATCGCCTCTTGTTTTTGATTCTTCAAGCAACTCTTCTGACTACTCGTGCTTCTCTCTCACTCCACTCACTGTCCATCAGCCAGCAATGGCCGACGATGGAGCTCCAGATGAAGTGGACAATCGCCAAGGCCTGCCCGATGATCAAGTTCGAGAAGAGCAGCGAGCCGACTATGAAATTTCCTGGCTTAAGCACAAGGAAATGTTCTACATTGACACTGAAGAGAATCCCGAGTTTGCCAAGCTCGCACGAGAAGGCGTCTTTGTTGGTGGCCACGACCAACGTGTGCAAAAAGAGTCTGCTCCAGATGAGCCTGCTCCAAAGGAACCTGCTCCAAAGGAGCCTGCTCCGAAGGGGCCTGTCCCAAAGGAGCCTGCTCCCGAGGAACCCGCTCCAAAGGGGCCTGCTCCCGAGGAACCCGCTCCAAATGGGCCTGCTCCCAATGAGCTTGCTCCAAAAGAGCCTGCTCCAAAAGAGCCTGCTCCCAAGGAGCTTGCTCCAAAAGAGCCTGCTCCAAAAGAGCCTGCTCCAAAAGAGCCTGCTCCAAAAGAGCCTGCTCCAAAAGAGCCTGCACTGCGTCCACCGACCCCACGTAGGCAGCGAGAAGGTGAGTTTTGCAATAACGACTTTACAGTGGACGAGTATTTAGTTGAAAACTCCTATTCGAGATACATTACTCAAACTAACCAACAGCCACGTCAGCATAAATTTACATGTATATTTTCAACTTTTAACAGACAATCCTGACTACGCCCGAGTGGACTTCACTGGTCGTGACCCAAATGCCTCTTACATTTCGTTTGGTGTTGGAGGCTTGCTCAAAAGCAGTCCAGCTGCACTGGATGATCCCAATCAGCTTGACTACCTAGGCCATCTTCAGTTGCCTGCTCGCGGACAGCAGCATGTTGTATCAACCACTCGCAAACAATTCCAGAACGTTATGCTTCCGATGATCGCAGTGGAAACGCTGGCACAAATGAGCGAAGATTTCAAGTCGTCGCCACTGATGACTCGCAAAATTTGGAAAGAGCAACGCTTCACTTGGCTGAATGATGCTGGCGCTGCGTCAACACGCACTTTCAAGTTCAAGTTCAGGACTTCGGATGCTGCTGCAAAACAGTACCAGCACAAATGCAGCAAAAGTGTTTGGCTTCTGCACAGCATCGCTGACTCGCCCACCAAAACCAACATCAAGAGCAGCCTGAGTTTCCTCGGCGAGCGATGTGTGATGGTGTTCGTCAACTCATTCAAGGGGCAGCGCACCCGCCAGGCAGCCAGAGAGTGCCCACAGTGGCCAAGTTTTGATGGAAAGCACCTGCCCATTGATGCGCCTGAGCGTGTGTTTGAGCTGACGTGCTACCTCGAAGAGACTGACGGCAATCGCGAGTGGCTGTCGACTATCGAACGTAGTCCAGAGGCTTACCTGACCTTTGTTAGTCAGATCACAATGCACGCCCGCTTCGCGCGGATGATGAGCATTCCGGAGCTACCCGCGAACATTGATCCATTCAACGACTACAACGTGTCGCCAGTGTACGACTGCATCATCGGAATTCGCCCCTTTGACATTGACTACTGTCTGGCGACCGATTCACTCGAGGAAAAGTTTGGCAAGTTTTGCGCTCCTGAGCCTGAAGATCGCATCAATCACTCGAAAAAACCCAAACTAAATCTTGTGGTCGGTGTTCCTGGTAGCGGGAAGACGTCAAACACTGCAGGCCCGGTCGGCAACTACATCATTGCAAACAAGCACGAGCGCGTCATGGTGTGTGCGCCTTCAAATGCCGCCTGCGATGTTTTTTTCATCAAAATCAAACACTCGTTTCCGGAAATTCTGATCGCCCGCATGGGAAATCCGCACAATTTCACCCGAAATGGCCGTCAGGCTATGAATGACGCGCTGCGCAAGTTCAAAACAAGCATTCTCTCCAACCAGGCAAAGAAAGCTCAAATTGCCGAAAAATACGCACTCGATGAAGATCAACTCCACGAGGCGGATTTCGAGATGATCTGGTTCGGTGAAGCGCAGATTGTCGTCTGCACCCTCGGCTCATCACAGTGTGACGAGTTGATCACAATTCGCGAGCACGCCAAATTCTCAACGCTGATCGTTGACGAGTGCACTCAGGCTCAACTTGTTGAGCTTCTCCTCCCACTGCATCTCACAAGCATTGAGCGAGTGATGCTCATTGGCGACCCATTTCAGTTGGGCCCAGTTTGCACCTCGAAGATTTTCGCCAGCTTGGCACTTGAGCGTTGCTCGCTGTTCATCAACCTGTTCGCACGTTATGGCACACACCCGTGTACTTCGAAGCTGACGCATCAGTATCGTCTGCACCCAGTTGTGGCCAAGCTGATTTGGAATATTTCATATCGAGCTAATGACGTCGCCATCACCGCCGATCCAGCTGGCAAGTACATGAAGCTTCGTGGCATACTCCCTCCGCTACTGGTATGTGTTTTTGTAGCTATGCTGCATTTTATGCTGTAATAACAGTTGAATTTTTAGGTTTTTTCAAGCGACGAGTGGAAAGATGCCCAGCCAGACAACACACACTCGCGAATTTCTTTCAAAGAGGTGGAAACTGGCATGCAACTGCTAAAGGCGTCTCTTCGAGCTGCTGGTTTCGATTTTAATACCATGCAGTTTCCAGAGGGCGTGCCCAAACTAACATTTGCGATCATTCCACTGTACCGCGGACAGGTTCGACTCTTTGAACAGAAGATCGAAGCTGAGCGCCTTCACGGCGTCGTCAACGTCTACACTGTTGATCAGATGCAAGGGTCAGAATGCGATGTTGCGATTGTGAGCGCAGTTCGTGCGACCACTGGCAATGAGGTGTCGGTCGGCTTCGCATCAGACATTCGTCGCCTAAATGTGGCCCTTTCTCGCGCTGGAGCCGTGTTCGTTCTCGCTCAGGCTAAAAGTTTTGGAAATCGCCAAGGATGGGCTAAACTGTATCAGCTGGCCAACTTTCTCAACCTTTTCCATGGCAAAGCCGAAACGCTCTACGACGTCAGTGGCGACCCGAGCCAACAGTTCATGACGAACTTCCTTCGTCTTTGTGGTCAAAAAGACTACGACCTTCCTGAAACAATTCCAGGATTTGACCCGGCGCAAGAGACTGAATGAACATGCATTCACCAGTACATAATGCAACCACACCAACTTGAGCATCTAGTGCATCAACTTTATGTTGGGCGTCTTCAACGCCACTTTATTCATTAAAATTTTTAAACATTTTACCAATAATTCGACTTTAGTTTCCTGTAAAGTGTAGCGAGTGATTTGTTTTTAAAAATTGATGCTGACGAGAGGTTTGGTTGGAAGTTTTTAGTTTGTCTTTATCTGCATCAATCTTAAACCAAAGGTTGTTTTAGCAGCAGCAGCCGCATCAGCAGCAGTTGTAGTGATCTATTGAGCAGCAGTAGCGTTGGCAGTGCCACCAATCACAGTTAAATGAGTTAAAGTATATTTTTCATTTTTTGTTTACCTGACTTGCAAGTCAAACGTCTGCACTACCAGCATAAACTACCAGACTCTACGCATTTGCCCGTGTTGTTAACTGGTTTTCGAATACAGTGATTTTACCTTTCAGAGTCCTGCTATCAAGCTTTGGTGTAGTCTGGTTTCCATTCTATCAACTTTTACTCGTTTTTATTTATCAAATTTTTAGCGAGTTAATGTTACCATGATTTAAGTACACAGATGCAGCCCACCTTACAAATGAGCTTAAAATGAGCAGCTTTGTACAGCAGAAAACTGTTGTGCTAAAATATATTTGAAATAATGAAAAGTGTTACAATCATAAATGTTTTGTGCAAATTTGAAATATAGTGGTGCAGCTTAAAATGTGGTAATGGGTGTTGAAAGTATTAAACCTGGCGTTCACAATAAAATCTCACTATGTTTGATGCAGCTTCGGTGACTTGCAGATGAACGTTTTTGTTGTAATTTCGAGTTTTGAGTTCTTCTAAACTTCTAACATTGATTCGCAATTTCATTGTTCAATTCAATGACCAACTCCTTGCATTCCTTTGTCAATGAGAGCCAAGCGGTTGTAGACATCACTTTGTTGAAGTTGTTTTTGACAAAAGCGACACAATTTGCTTTGACAACGGAAATTCCTGCCACGTGAGCTACAATTAAACGGCGAATCACATTGGAGTGGTCGATAGTGGCCAGTAGGCAAGACTGCAGGTACTGGTAAAACTCGTCCATTTGGAACATTTTAGCGTACACTACCATGTGACTGGTAACTTCCTTGAAATTGACCACTTCTCCTGTGTACATAAAGTAGAGGATGCGAAGGATGTGATATAAGTAGTCCTTGCCTGCTAAATTAAACTCTGTGATTGAGGGATTCTCCTTAAACATGTTGTTAAAGTATGGCGAGTGAGCTGATAAAATGCTTTTGTGCAGATGAAGCCTTTTGTCGTCAACAATTAGATCAAAGTCACTGTGGATATTGTCGAGAAGAAGCTGGTTCATGTCAGTCTCAAATGAACCTGTCGTTAGACTTGTGACGAGAAAGCTTTCGTTTGATCCACAATCAATGCGATTGTAGTTTACTTTGGCCTGTAAGAGATAGCTGAATTAGATTTAAAAGAAAACCAAAACACATGGCTTACATCAAAGGCAATTTGCAACTGATTGTCAGGCAGTAATTTTTTGCGCTTATTCGAAATTTCAGAGAATTTAACGAATTTATCCGATCCAAAGGCGAACATTGTGTTAGCAGACACTCGACACGATTGATCTAAACAGAAGAAAACAAAGTTTAGAATAGATAAAAACTCAAACTAATAGCAACGAGGATATTTACTCAGTAGCTTTACAGTTTTCCCGTTTTGATTGATTAACCCAAGCGAAAAGTCGAGGAAAACTCTTTTTGCTGAAATTGCGTCACCTGGAAAGCACTGCACATAAACTCCCAACTCTTCGGTGTTTTGAGTAGAAGTGCGAATGTGAAGGCGAAACTTGATATCATGTTCAGACTTACTGAACACAGATGATTTGAGCGAGCTTCCATAATCAAGCATATTCGAGCTAAAATGATCAATCTTCCAGACGTGCTTAACATTGAAAGTGGTCACTTTGCTGCATGTCCAAGAAACAGATTTGTCTGGTTTCATTTTTTTATTTTCATGCGAGTAATTGGTTTGGTCATCTACGGGTCGTTTCACTCCATTTACCGGAGAAGAGCCTTCCTGAGCTTCCATTGAGGACGGTGGTCAGGTGGTCACAGCTTTAGATGCTTTTGCGGTATTCTGTAGAAGCAAACAAAAACTAGGGTTAGGAAAACGTTTTAAACTCTAAATTCGAATAACAGTTCAAGTTTAGCGTAAACAAAACATTGCGTCATTTGCTGTGCATCATCAGTTTTGTTTATCAAACGTTTGCGTGTTTTAGGAAGGAGAGAAAATCAGCTTATACTCACAAGGCACCTCACTGGTGAACAAAAAGAGTTGCTTGTGCAGTCGACTTGGCAGAAAGTAGTCAAAGAAGTCTATCAGCGCTGAAGTTCTGCAGTGTTTTTGTTGCAAATGCAAACTGTAGGAAACTCAAAGTCAGCTTAAATCAGTCTTTGAACGTTGCAGTTGGTTGACTGGACGCAGCTTTGGTACTGGTCAGAGAGGCGCAGCTCAAGTCGGCAAACTTGCTGTGAGACTTTTGAGATGAGAGAAAGAAGGCAAAGATGAGATGATGTAGGCGACAATTTTATAGAAAGAATAGCAAAGAGGCAAGTGAGAAGAGCGAATGTGAGATGCAGACCAGGTCCCAACTGGTATAGCCACCAACTACGAGATAAAATCAAAGTACTCGCAACTAAGACCATTGACGATTTCAAACATCTGCACGTCGATCAAAAGAATGTTTTCAAACAAAAACTGTCGCGTTGTCTGCGGCTAAATAGGTGCCAGTGGTGTGAAAAACATTATCAGCAGACAGCCAGTGGACGTCGCCATGATGCTGGTCAACATGCAGGTTTTCTGGTTTTTTTTGTTTGAAGAAGACACTGAGGTAGAGCACAATGTAGGCGAGTGTTCTTGATACAAGCTGTTTTGGGCCAGGCTGTGTGATACTGTGAGGCAACACCTTTGTTTGACTGCTCCTTGAGACTACATGAAAGTAACGGACAAAGTTTTGATGCCTATCCTTTTTCCGACAGTGCTCAGTTTTGTCCGCCTCAATTGAAGCTGTGGATTATAAAGAAGATTAGAAATACTCAAACCACAAAAACATTTTCAAACTTTTTACCCGACACAGAGAAGAGTCTCTTTGCTGAAACTGGTACAAATAGAAACTCGCGCCAACACCAAATGCATAGGTAGCCGAAGTAGCCAAACCAAAACATTCGCCTGGCCGTTTTCATGTTTAGCAGCCGATTACTGATACTTAACAACCGAAACGTCTGGTCAATGAATGATAGTGTTTCGAGTATGAGAGATTCTGTAGTGGTAAACTACTTTCAGAGCAATTTTGAATGAAGATGAAATGTGCCTGTTTTAGCACCCAACTGCTTTAACGATTTTCTATCGACTAGAAATGATTTGCGTAAAAACGTCCATTCTGTTCAGAAAAGGTGTGATGTCTGGTTTGCAAGCCACAGTGACAACACCAGATATTTGCTTTAAACCAATCTTTAATATTCGCAATCGACAGTTGAAACAAAACACATATAAATTTCTGTTTGTTATTGTCACGCAAATATAAAGAAAGTCGAAGAATTGAAACGAATGAAAAGATTAAGTCAAATTGGCTTTAGCAGATCGTAAATCAGTTTTCCTGATTACATGCAGCACACCAGTAGCAGGTTAGCGCAGCTCATGCATGATCTGAATGGGCTGGTTTAAGCGGCAATCTCACTGACCAGTTGAGTGAAAGTGCAGTAATCAAAAAGCTTTTTAAACACACGTCATCCCTTTGTATAACTTCATTTTTTTGCCCTGAAATAGCCTTATGTTGACTCTCATCAGACTACCTGGCCATGCTGTAGATTTTTTTCCACACCTGCTATTTGCATTCCAGATTTGGTACAACTTATAACTCGCATCAACACTTTTGATTTTGAATGATAATAAAAATGCGAATAAAAGTTACCAGTCATTCTTTATGTGCCCTTGATGAACAAGGGTTAAAATTAAATATTGCTATAAAAGAGCAAAATTGCTCAACGTCGAGTGCGTTGGCGACGAGCACGCATGTCAAGCTCGTTGCGGACCTGTGGGTATGGTTCAATCCTGTGGTCAGGGTTGTACACTGATGGACTGTGGCGGGGATACCACTTGGTCATCAGGTGGTAGAACACATTGACCTTGTACTTGACAGTGGACTTTGTGGCACACTTTCGTGCACCGATGTACACACCGCCATCGTAGCTGTAGCCGGGAGCCACTACCAAAAAAGGCGTCTCACTTGCACTTTGAATTGCGTGTGCCGAAGGCTGAATCAGCTGAATCAACTTCAGGTTATGGTAACAGTGCTGGAGTGCTTTGAAGTCAACGTATGGCTTGAAGTAGCCCCAGTGCTGGACGACCAGAGTGTCAACGTTTGCGAATATTGAGATGAGCTTGGGGACGCTGACGTGCCAAGATTCTTGATATAGATCGAGTGGTGGATCATTTGGTCTGTCCAACTCGTTGCCAGTCTCCTCCACACCGGGTTTGAGTGCCGGGCGCGCAATTGGCGTTAGGTTGGTGACTGAGACAAGTCGGTTCAGGAGCGAAAGTCTGCGATCTGCCTGGTCAACTAGTGCTTTCATGTCTTTGACGAAGAGTACGAGCGATGGCCAGGTTTGGCGGTCGTCTCGTATCTCGTACTCAGGAAGAGTGTCAAGGTTGGACACCCACAAGAAGTCCATGTACTGTCCAACGGAGTGGCTGTCGTCAAAGAGGTAGAGCGCGACCACTTTGGTTGCAAGTTCATGATTGATCGTGTCACGCCATTCGACGGACATCTTTCTGATCTGGAGCATGATTCGAGTGTTTAGATGCTTTGCAATCAACTGACGGCTTTTGACTTCAGGGTCTTTGTTGCCAGCGAGCAGTGGTTCTGAAAGAGAAAAATGTATGATTAATCAAATGTTTCAATATCAAGTTCAATGTTACCATGTTGACCTAGCGGCAGCGTGTCAGGAGGCCGAGGCCTCTCAGAGTCAGGCAAGAAGCTAGAAGTCATCTTAAATTCTAATAATCTTCTTCAAGTCTAATGACTTTCTACACTCAAAGTTAACTGGTTATATAGAAGAAATGCAACAATTGGAAACGAGTGGATGATTGCTTAAGATTCTAAAAATTTTCAAATGTAGAACATTTTTTCCTATCGGTTTGAAATGATGCGTGAAGGAAAGTTTGAAAAGGCGTTTCATCTACTGGTCTAGTAAATTGCCGAATGGAAAGGTTGTGATCGATGCTGCTAGAACAAGTTTACTCAGACATAACTCAACATAGTCAGCTGGCCAACTGTGCAATGGGTGAGAGTGAACGAGTATGGTGATGCACAGGGTTCGGGGTTCTTTCACTATTTCCTCACCATTCGATTGGCTTGTCAGTTGAACCTTTCATTCGCAAATGTTTACCACCACTTTGTTTGTCCAGTCTGAGCACACAACTTCCCAAACTAATTGACAAAAAGTTAGTTGCAGTGGTGTAATAAAAAAACCAAATAAGTACTTACAAGAAAAGTTTAAAGCAGTTTTGGGAATATCGGGAATGCGCGAAAGTTGCACTCACCCTTGAAGCCGGGGAAACACAGTTTCTTTGTCATCTGTTTGTGAATCTGTTTCAGTCACCAGAGCTTGCTTTGAATGATGCGTTTCAGTTTTACATCTAAAGGTGCGCTATTTCATTTTTCATAGAGCTCACAAATGGACGAATAAAAAGTTACAATTGAATCGCTGCAGGAGAAAACAACAATTAAAATCACAGTGTCTGTGAATACTGATTGATAGTACAGTTTTCACAGCTGATTTACTTGTTTTGTTTTTAAAACAGGCATCAAAAAAAATATTGACCATTTACTAGCCAGTTCTGGATGCCAACTATGTCTTTTTTTTAAATTCTATGAAGACGACTGTTTGCTAGTGTGTTTAGTGAAAAATGCCCGACAACAGCAAGAATGAACTGGCACCTAAACCCCTAAAGATTTTCATTCACTCAATGGATGGACAGGTGGGCCTGAGATACTGCTGTTGAAATGTTGTCCTCTAACAATAAAAATGATCTATTCTTTTCAGAGCCATCTTTCTGTTGTGTTGGCTTTAGTCAGGCATGTGTCAAATGCGGCAACTGGATCATTTTTCTCGTCAACTCTGTTTTTTCCGGTCAATTTGCCAAGTTTAGTTTCGAGGAGATACTGTTCTAACGAAACGTGTCAACGAGTGTCAACGACGTACCGGAAGACCCGGCAAAAGACTTCGCCGAACAGATGCTCAAGTCGGGCTTCATCATCAGTCTCCCCAGTCTGGAGAAACTGAAGTTCTTCAATCCGGCCAACAAGGGGTGACAACTTTGTGCAGACGTTCTTCAATCCGACGGTCGACTTTTACCCGCAAATTGGCGCAGTCATTGAGCGCGAGCAGCCGGACGCCTTCATTCTGAACCACTTTCTTTGGCCGCCAGTGGTCTTTCAACTGAACGACATTTCCTACATGCTCCTCTACAATGGCAATCCGTTTTGTCTGTACAAGAGCGACAAGCTGCCACCCTTTGCCTCAGGTAAGATGAAAAAGATATTATATAAAGACTTTTTGATTTCACTTTTTAATTTCGTTCATTTGAAAAAACCTAGGCTACCCCACCGACAAGAACCCCTCGACCTGGACGAAGTGTGTGAAGGAGCAGAAGACGCACTTTCTAAAGACTTTCAACGACTTTTAGCGAGAGTTGAACCACCTCTTCGACTACGAGCCACCTGAGGGCGAAGAGGTGGAAGCTTTTGTGGTGCGCTCAAAGTGGCTCAACATTTACCAGTACCCAGAGGTGAGTGAGGTGGTGAAGTAATTAAAGGTTTCTGAAGTTTACTAAAAATTATCTTACGCAACAGGAACACTACTATCAAGACATTACGCCCATCTGCGAAGAGTACTCTCGTGTGGACGCCTTTCTGTGTGACGTTCCGGAGCCCTTTCAGCTGACAGAGGAGTTTGTGAGCATAACTGGCGAAAAGATGATCTACGTTTCGTTAGGTAAAAAGGCGGACAATATTCTAGAAAAAAACTTTAACTTTTTTCACTTCCACTTTCTAGGCTCAATGGGCTCGATTGGCGTGCAGCTGATGAAGCGCATCGTCTCGGTGCTAGCCAAGACGCCGCACAAGTACATCGTCTCCAAGGGTCCACTGGGCAGTGAGTACGAGCTGCCGGAAAACTGCTGGGGCGAGAACTTTCTCCTGCAGACGAGGATCCTCTCTCATTTGTCAATATCTCATTGGGGAAAGCGAGTAGTAGTTTTTTGAAAGGCAACTGGCCATTTGTTTTAGTTCATTTGTCAGTAAATAACAGAAAGTGAATCTCAAACTCGTCTAAATCAGAATTGAACAAATGTTTTATTGAGTAAAGGTAACAAAAAATCGAATAATATGATTCAAAATAGCTTCAGATGTTTGCGTTAATCCACGTATCCACCGTACCGATAAAGTTTTCCCAATTGAATGCAATTTGAAGTGGCGAAGTATTGGGAAAGTGTTCGGTAATCAAGTTTGTGATGCAATTTCGAGTTTTTTTGACGTAAATTTCTGACTGTCCTTGTGTAGTCTCTAATTTGCTGATATCAATCAAACAATCTTTACAATTCATGTCTGTGATGTGAATGCCCTCAGCGTTTGGGAATGTGTGCGAAAAGTCTAAAAGTTTAAGTTTCGAGTGAGTGATGCCATTTAGCCCCAATGTGAGTGCTTGTGTAGAGTCAAAGCTGAACATGCTTCGAACGTCTTGGTCTTCTTCTTTTTCGTCGTCTGTAAAGTCAATGTGTAGTCCAAGATGCGCCAGTCTTTTCAGTGTTGCCAAAATTGAAAATGTGTAACGAATGTGTGATCCAAAAATCTTCAATGAAAGTGATCGGATGTTTTTAAAAGCACAAAACTTTCCAGTCATAAGATTGCCTCTACAATCAACTTTATACTGGCTGATTCGCACAAACCGATTGCAAAGAACTTCTCCAAGCTCTAAAATTGCCCGAATTTTTGTGTTTCCGTCCACAATGTCAATCTTCAGGTCGTTGACATTAAGAATTGCGTAGAGTTTGAGTGACTTGAGCAAGGAACGGCAGTGCCGCATCATTCCGTTATACTTGAAAGTTTTCAGGGTTGCGAGTACTTGCAGATCGTACATTCGAATAGCAGATAAATCCAAATTAAGATCTTTAAGCGATGCGAGGTTGTTGATCGCGTGAAAGAGTCCTGGACTGTCGTATGACTCGCGTTGTTTGTCGATTAATGTGAACGAATGAAGTTGATTTTTCAGTTTGGCACTTCTCAGCAGTTTTTCGAGGTACGCATAATGTTGGATTGATCCATAGTTTACGAATGTTAGTTTTACAATATCTGGATAAAGCTCGAGTAGCTTTTCGACCGTATCACTGTCAATTGAATCAAAAAACAAAACGTTGTTTGCAGTGATTGTCGAGACTGGAAGTCTTGTTGTTCCGTCTTTGTTTGCTAGCAAGATAACGCTTGGTATCATCTCAATATCACTTCCAGAAACGGCAGTCCTGACAAATGGGAGACGATTTTCACCGATACTGATCGTTAGCGAGTGTGTAAGATTTAGCAATTCAGCAGCCTTTTCAGCAGACGTTATGCTATTGTTTGCCAGTGCGTTCAAACACATCGATTTGAGTGAGCTTGGACTCTTGATATCCATTGTTGGGGCGGGGGAGTTGTGCGAATGTTTGATGCTTAAATGAAAAACTGAAATTAGAAAAGGTTTTTTCGAGTGTTTGTTGCAACTACCTGACCCAAATATTTCCTCAAACGATCAAGTCTGTTTACTACAACGCAAAAATGTGTATTTTTTTGTTGCTCGCTGAGGCAATATGGAAAACGTAAAACGGTGTTCATAAAGGACGTTCGCTTTGACGATACCGATGTTATCACAAGTCAACAAGTGTCAGCTTTTCATCATCTACCACTCGCGCCAGTATTTGTTTTTATTTTTACCAGTTTTTTATTCTCATCAAGAAATGGACGATTCAAAGTTAACCAATTTATCAATTTATTCGAATGAATCTGTTTCAACTTTAACATCATCTGAAGCACCGTCAACTGAAAAAAGTGAGATTTTAAACGCATCTGCAGTAAATCACAGCACAACATCAAACATTCGCTCAACAAGTTTTCTGTCTCGTCCTGAAGTGATTCGCATTGGACCAGCAATTTCTATGCGGAACCAAATTTGTGGCGATACTCCAGCCTACGAAACTTTATGCGATAACATCATCGAGAAGCGGATCAGTAATGCTCTGCCACTGGACACATGGGGCCTGCCAGCGCCCCTGGTAAAGTACTACCGTGACAAGGGCATCACAGACCTCTTTCCGTGGCAAGTAAAGGCACTTTGGCAACCAGGAGTCCTTTTTGAGGGCAGAAATATCATCTACTCGGCACCTACTTCTGCTGGAAAGTCGATGGTGGCCGATTTGTTGATGTACAAGACTCTCTATGAAAGAAAAAAAAAAGTCATCATCGTCCTCCCTTTTATTTCCATCAGCAACGAAAAGGTCGAGTCTCTTCAAACAGTCCTCTCATACACTGGCATCACCATTGACTGTTTTGCTGGCAACATCAGTCCAATCGGAGGGTTTTCTGCAGTCGACGTTGCAGTGTGCACCATTGAAAAGGCGAATAACATGATCAATAGGTATCTTTTACTCGTTTCTTTGCACTAATACTGAGCGTTGAATTGATTTGTTTATTTTACCAGAATCATTGAGGAGAATGCGCTTTCTGACATTGGCATGGTCATTGTCGATGAACTGCACATGTTGGCTGATCCTAACCGCGGCTACATACTAGAGCTACTCTTGTCAAAGCTAATGTTTACAACCAAACAAAGTTTCAGCAAAGGGAAACAAAACCCACTACAAATTGTCGGCATGAGTGCTACTATTCCTAACCTTGATCACCTTGCCATTTGGCTAGATGCTGCACAGTTCACAACTACATTTCGACCAATATCACTCGCACATTCACTTGTCAAATCTAACGTAATTTACCAGATTACCAAAAGTGCAAACAGTGAAGAATCGATCCTTTTGCCTGCCTCACCGACTGTTGATATTGAAGAATTGCAGTTAAAGGCAGCACCAGATGATGCATCTTTAATCTACTACGCAATCGAAACACTTGCAAATGGCTTTTCATCACTAGTTTTTTGTCCAACAAAACTGAGCACTGAAAAAACTGCAAGATCAATAGCTGAAAATATTTACGAACTTGGCGCAAAATCGGCCAAACAAGAATCGATAAACGAATGTGCTGATGCTTTAGGCTCTGCCTGTAGAGCCAACCTGTGCATGACAAAGATCAACGAGTTGTTGGTGACGCTTTTCAGTCTGTCTATTGGCTTTGATCAAACACTCGTCAAAACAATTCGCTTTGGAGTTGCATTCCATCATGCTGGTATGAGCAATGAAGAACGATTCCTCATTGAGAAGGCTTTTCGCGAAGGAACCATTAGAGTGCTTTGCTCAACGACCACTTTGTCTGCTGGTGAATATTATTCAGAACTCGCATTCGTACTTAACTCATTTACTTTTTCTATCCAAATAGGTGTTAATTTACCAGCCAAACGAGTACTCGTCAATGGTCCTTTTGACTTTAGTGGAAAAATTTTAAACGTAACCACCTACCAGCAGATGATCGGACGAGCTGGTCGCACTGGACTCGACACTACAGGCGAATCAATGTTGTTTTGCAAAGAAAAAGATTTCAAAAACGCCATGAATCAACTGATCAATGCAAGTGTGCCACCAATAAAAAGCTGTTTGCTTGAATCTACCAAACAGTTTGACTCAAAAACAACCCATTCGCAATCTCAGTCAAGCAATGCTAGTGTGTCACAAGTGTCTCAAAAATCATCCCTGACATTCTCTACTCAAAATTTAACTGAAAAAAAGTTTAACATTCTGAAGCAAGCTATCATGGAGGTCATTTTCAGCAGCAATGCAAAAAATTGCGCTACCGTTGAAAGCTACGCTAAATTGACATTCTGTTCAGTCTCTGCTCAACTTGCGGATGATGAGAAAAAGGACGACGAGTGGATGGTGACACCTGAACTTTCATTCGTCAGCACAGTAAAACAGTTCAAAGATTCTCTGCGTCCAGAAATAGAAACTGCAATCAAAAAGTCACTCCAAAGTCTGACAAGTGAAGGACTGATTGATGAATGCACTGAAATGGCGAGTGGAGACACTTCCAGCACAACAACCCTGATTTGTGCATCAACGCTTGGAAAAGCTATCGTAGCAAGTGGTGTCGGTTTAGAAACTGGACTGCTTGTTTACCAAGAACTCGTTCGATTCAACGAAAATACCTCCTTGCAGAACGATGAGCACCTGACCTATTTGGTATGTCAACATTTTGCATTCGTGTATCTAAAATGCTTCACTTCTTTTTTAGGCGACACCACCATTTATGGCTCAAAACTTGAACATTGATTGGTCGTTGTATCTGAAAGTATTTGACCGTTTAAAGGATCAACATATTCGTATTGCCGAACTACTTGGCGTAAAGTCCTCGGTAATCATCCTGAAGCAAAGTGGCGAGTCTAATGTTTTTAAAAGTTCTGCCAAAGAAAAATTGGTCGTTTATCAACGTTTTTACGCAAGTCTGGCTCTTTTTGATCTGATACAAGAAGTTCCGTTAAATACTATTGCTGACCAGTACAAATTTAACCGAGGAACAGTTCAGTCGCTACAACAAAACGCCGTCTCATTTGCAAGCATGCTTAGAGCTTTTTGTGATCGAATGGGAACAGACTGGGAGGCTACTGGAAAGCTAGTTGTAAAGCTTAAATCAAGACTAACATTCGCTATTCACTCAAACTTGGTTGATTTAATGCAGATCAAATGCTTGACGGTGCAAATAGCAAAGGGTCTTTTTGCTGCTGGAATCAAAACACTGATCGACATTATTGTCAAAGAATATGCATTTATCAAAAACATTCTTGATGAAGTATCAAAAAGCGAAGCAACTCAGACAGCAAACACAATCTACAGCAATTTAGGATCATTTTATTCGAACACAGACCAGAAAATAGGACAAATTTATATACCGCACTATGGCAAATGGTTATCAACTGACGTACTGACTTTGAGGATTGTACATGAGGCTAAATGTCACATTGCAGAAGAGTTGAACGAATCACTGGATATTGATGAAGAACAATCGCATGCTTGTTGATCGATTTTAAAACACAACTCTTATTCGCTTAAATCAATTATCTTCTAAACTGAGACACATATTTAGAGTTTTTGTACAACATTGACATTTTATATTTCACATACGTTTCTTTTTCCAAATACACTTTCATTAAAAAATGGTAATTATATAAAATAAAAAACAACTAAATTTTTAATTTGATCAGATTTAGACGAATGATTGATCTACAACTTTTACTCGTTTTTTGCTAATTAACAATACTTAGGTGACCGGTCATTTAAAGCAAGTGATAAAAGCGATTCCAGGTACTCATTGCATTTTTGCTGATCAGTGGTGCTTGCTTTTGATTTTGCGATACTGTGATAATTAACAGTGGTTTGATGATAATTAACAGGCATAACGTAATAATGGTTCAGGTAATAGCAAACAAACACTAATTGTGTACGGTTCGTCGTCGATTGCTGTGCGTTAAAAGGCGGAGACTTTGTTTCAAACAAAAGCACTGACAAAAGCGGTGACGTGGTGCACACTGTCTGTAGTGCAAATCAGTGTAAGTGTATGGCCACGGTTTCACTGGTCAACTGTTTTTCAGCACTGATGTACAGACAGTGTGCACCACGTCACCCGCCTTTGTCAGTGCTTTTGTGTGAAGCAAAGTCTCCGCCTTTTAACGCACAACAATCGACGACAACCCGTACACACAATTCACAACGCATTACGTCACAAGCCGTGTGTAAGGTCATTTTTCAAAATAACAAATCTGTAAACTCGTTATTTAATGTTTCTGTTTTTTAGTTTCATTTAGAAGTCAATTGTACTTTGAAAATTTGCACAATATTGGAGATTTTTGTGAGGATCATACCATTCGTTTTTTCCTGAATATACAAGAATCCCACAATGGATACTGATGAACAGTACAGCGTACCTTGGAGCAAATCCACTGAACAAGAATTTAAATTGTATGAAAATACGATCAATCGCTTTACAGCTACATACGAAAAATTTAACAACACTGATCCACCCAAACATTCCGATGACAACAACAACGAAACTCAGCAGTGCAATTTTTCCGAAGAAATACAATCAGACGACTCCGATATTGACTACAGCTCAGACGAAGACGACAGTTTGATCAAATCTTCAGATGAAAAAGATATATCACAAACCAATCATTCCGAGAACAATGATAGTATTGTAAAACTTCAGAACAGTTACTCGATCAAATCTACGAACATGACTCTAAACACCGACAACTCTGTATAAGATGCATAAGCAACGAATTTTGTTTTTTAGTTTCCGATTTTACCACGCCCTGTATGTTTAATTTTTAATACTTTTCATCACCCATATATAACAAATATAATAATATCTCCAAATCAGTAAAATTGATTAGTCAAAATTCACGATAGAGTTTTTTAAAACATTTAACTCGTTTTTTCTAAAGTTGTTTGAACAGGTTTAATTTTTTAATTCATTTAACAAGTAAAATTTAAAACATTAAATTTTAAGTTTATTTTCAACAAATTCAGTGGACAACAGTTTGGCCACTGAAGATGATGACGACGAAGAGGAGG